CAAGAGCTGGAGGTTGCTATGAGCTGTGACGGCATAGCACTCTACCAAGGGCAATAAAGTGAGACTCTGTCTCTAAAAAAAAAAAGAAAGCAGTCTAGGAGGCCAAGGCAGGTGGATTGCTTGAGCTTAGGAGTCAGAGATCAGCCTCAGCAAGAGTGAAACCCCATCTCTACTAAAAGTAAAAAAATTAGCCAACTGTTGTGGCAGTTGCCTGTAATCCCAGCTACTCGAGAGCCTGAAGCAAGGGAATTGCTTGAGTCCAAGAGTTTGAGGTTGCTGTAAGCTACATGATGCCATGGCACTCTTCCCAGGGCAACAAAGTGAGATTCTGTCTCAAAAAAAAAAAAAAGAAAGAAAAAGAAAAAAGAAAACAAAGTGCAGTGGCCTTAGTACTGTCAAGAGCAAGAATTGCTTCCTGAATGATCCCAAATCCACCAGGTGGTAGTAAAGTGTGATACTTCTAGGTACCTAGGAATTGGTGGATTTGAGGTTTGAACCAGTCCCTGCTCTATGAGTTTCTTTGTCCAGGCAGCAAGGGGGCTTGTGTGTAATGGCAAGCGTCTCCTGGTGGCCTTACAGCGTCATCTACAGAGAGCCAGGAAGAGCCAGGAGCCTCAGAGAAACAGAAGAAAGTTCAGCCCATGTACTTGAAGGACTACAAGAGGAAGGTTATTCTGGAGAAAGAAGGGTAAGGAGAGAGTCCACACCCCCACCCTCTGGTCCCCAGCCCAGGACAAGAGTTTAGGGGCAGAGGTGGAAAAAAGTGACCTAACAGAATTTGAAGGAACCCTTATTTATTTATTTTGTACTCTTGCACTACCCAGGCTGGAGTGCAGTGGCAGCATCATGGCTTACTGTAACCTCTAATTCCTGGTCTTAGGTGATCTTCCTACTTCAGTCTCCCAAGCAGCTGGGACTATGGGGGTGTCACCACTAATTTAAAAATATTTTTATAGAAACAGGGTCTATTGCCCAGGCTAGTCTCAAACTCTTGGACTCAAGAAATCCTCCTGCTTTAGCCTCCCAGAGTGCTGGAATTATAGACGTGAGCTCCTTTGCCCTGCTGAGGGAACCCTTGAGAGTAGGAACCTCAGCAAACCCACAATCTCCTATTCCTATGGGAACAGGTGGGCCATGGAAAGTATATTCTAAAGATTTCTTCCTTTCCTACACAGCAAATATATTGATGAGGACAATTCAGATGGGGAAACTTCTGATCAGAGATTGCAGGTAGGTGGGGTAGAAGCTGGGTAGTAAGATGAGGGGCCCCATATTGGCCTGAGGCCCACATCATTCTCTTTTCTGTAGAAAACCTCATCACAAAGTTACGTGGAAGAACAGAAACAGCTCAAGGAAAGGTAAGGCTGGGCTGTGGTGAATGGCCCATGGGATGGGCCTGGGTTCAGATTGAACTGTCACTTGCTAAATCCATGACTCAGTTTCCTCATCTGTTAAAGGGGGTTAGTAACATCATAGCATTGCTCTGAGCTTGTCAAGAGGAGCACTCAGGGCTTAGTAAACTGTGTTAATCTTAGAGGAGGGGGCAGAGCCCAGCCTACCTGTTCCTGAGTCTTGTTTTCTCTTGTGAACAGCTTCCGGGTATTTGTGGAGGACAGTGAGGATGAGGACAGTGCTGGGGAAGGTACCTCTGTGTTGCTTCAGAAACGTGCTAAAACCAGTGAAGAGAAGGTAGGTGCTGGGGCCCAGCCAGACTGATGGGGCAGAGGGTGGTGGGAGCCTGGGAGTCCCTCAGACCCTCAGCACTGGCCTTCCTCCAGGCCCAGGAAGAGGCCGACTACGTCAAGTGGCTGAAGGGACAGAAAGGGATTCAGAACCCCGAGTCCTTGAAGGAACTGGTGAGTTCTCCCACATCATCACTGATGAACTGAGCTCCCTATTCTGTCCAGGCTTTTTCTAGAAAGTGACCCTTGAGTGGGTAGCTAAGAGCACATGCTCTGAAGATGGGGTGTGCCCATCTCTGTGCCTCACTTTCCATATCTCTAAAATGAGGATAATGTTATCCACTTCAGAGGCTGGCTGTCATGTCCACTTGGTGCCCATGCTTGCCCTTCTTCCCTGTCTCCCAGTCTATGACCTGGCTCCTATCACTTCCTCAACCCTCCAGACCCATCTTAAGGAATATTGGGATGACCCAGAGCTGGAGGAAGGGGAGCAATTCCTGAGGGATTATATCCTCAACAAACGCTATGAAGAGGAGGGAGATGAGAATGAGGAAGAAAAAGAGGAAGAGGAGGAGGAGAAAGGGTGAGCTCAAGTCTCCTCACGGCCTGGGCCTGGTGTCCCCTTCCTAACACATGCTCAGCCAGGGCCAGCCAGGAGGCAAAAGACGTGGGTTTTTTTGTTGTTGCACAGATGGTAGCAAAGTTAATCTTCTTTGACCACAGAGAGCCACAGATTGCAGATTGTGACCTGTGGAGCCAAATAGGACCAGTTCAAATCCTTGCCCTGCTGTTAGAGTTCATGCCTCAGTTTTCCTATCTGTACAACGAGGAGAATGGCAGTATGCACCTTGCAGAGTTCTTCAGGCAATTATATGAGTTCACACAGCTGTGCCTGGGCATGCAGGAGTAGGGTGGACCCCTAGCCTTACTCTATCTTGTCCCCAGAGTCACTGGACCCCCAGTCCAGCTATCTGTGGATGATTCTTCTGATGAAGGGGAGCTGTTTTTGAAGAAGCAGGAGGACTTTGAGCACAAGTACAACTTCCGCTTCCAAGAGCCCGACTCAGCCTCGGTGTGTGGCCAAGGCTGGGGAGGACTCAGGCCCTGGTGTCCAGGCCTGGTGGAGATTCCTGTGTCATCTCATGCTGCCTTCCTGGGTTCCTTTGCTGCCCTCAGGTCAAGACCTACCCACGTAGCATCACATCCTCTGTTCGGCGCAAGGATGAACGCAGGAAGGAGAAGAGGGAAGAGACTCGGGAGCGGAAGAAGAGAGTGAGTGTGCGGTGGCCAGCTGGGTCAGGTTCCCCGGCCTGCTGTGAAAGTCCACACTCTTGGCTTGGCACCTGTGGCTCAAGTGGCTAAGGCGCCAGCCACATACACCTAAGGTGGCGGGTTCGAATCCACCCTGGGTCCCACCAAAACAACAATGACGGCTGCAACCAAAAAATAGCCAAGCATTGTGGCAGGCGCCTGTGGTCCCAGCTACTTGGGCAGTGGAGGCAGGAGACTCACTTGAGCCCAGGAGTTGGAGGTTGCTGTGAGCTGTGATGCCACAGCACTCTACCCAGGGGGACAGCTTGAGGCTCTGT